CTAGAGAACATCGAAAATTTGTGGAAAGATTTTAAAAAGTTATTTGATAAAAAACTTGAGCTGGACTCAACTTTTTCTTTTAAGAAAATGGCATCTGAAATCTACACGTTACGTGAAGGAAAAGGCATTGCAGCCTCAACTCTAAAAAACTTTTACCTACGAAAAATCAATCCGCGGAAAATGACTGTCGAAGCAGCTTATTAGATATCACGTCTTCACGACTTCACGTCTCAAAACTTGACGAAAAAAAGAATGGCAACAGTCGAAGAAAAGAAAGAGATGTTGGCAGAGGCGAAGGCGGCCTTAAAGGAGTTTAAGGAAGGCGAGAGTGAAGGAAAGTCATTGGTGAAACTGAGGCTGAAGTTGGCGAATGGAGAAGTGCTAAACTCGGCGCAGCAACAGTTGTGGGACGACCTCGTGGCGAAGGAGAAGCGTCTAGAGAAGCAAGTGCAGGACTTGCAACTCGAGGTGGCTGCTACCACTCAACCAGGTAACGACTTTGTGACTCGGGCGTTGGGGACATAGAGTAGTGTGTACATAGGGTAGAGTAGACGTAGTAATTGTTGGGAAGACATTATTATAGCTAGAGTTGACTCTTTAAGAGAATAGTGACTCGGGCGTTGGGGACATAGAGTAGTGTGTGGGATGAACAGAAGAAATATTGATAAGGAATATATACATAGAAGAGAGTAATATATCCCGAATTGCTGGGAGAATGTCTTTGTAACTGGAGCTGAGTTATTTTATTTGTGAGACTCATACTATATATAAGATGAATAATTTGCATCTTGGTTTTCTGTGCCTTTCTTCAACCTACATTCTCATATGCACATCTCCATTCAATTGATACATCAGGAAAGAGGAAAGCTATTGATGACAGTAAGAATATGTAGCTCAATGTTTAATAATGTCTCAATCTTAGTTTGATTGATGTTCTTGTCCATGTTTGTTATTCATTGCCATCTTGTTTGCTTGTAGTAAATGCATCTTATCAAGTTAGCTTCCCCTTAACAGATGATGAGCTCCAGTCGAAGAAGGTGCGGCCAATACAAGATTACATTGCAGAACAAGAAGACAGCATAAACAAAATAAATGATATGCATGGTCCTTCATCAGTTGCATACCCAAAAACTTTCAAAAAATTCAACCAGCATCCTGGTAAAATCCTCAATTTGCGACCCCCTGAGTGCTGTGGACTACCAGTCATGCTATTTCACTCAGTTTTCAGTAAGTTTCTTCACAACTTCCACAATGAGTCATTGGACATCCCTGCTGAACTGTACAGAGAAGTCCTGGAATTTAGTCAAATTGCAGGAAGTATTTATGAGTCAGAATCACTTCGACAAGAAGCTATCTGACCTTTCTTCACATCACTATTCCACTCTGCACCAGAATCCATTGTGACTGGTAATGGTGCCATGCTGGATGGAGCAATGTTTACAAATGTAAGGAACTTTGCAGAAAATGCCATCACTCTTGTTATGGAAGACAAGAATGAAATAGGTGCTGGAGGCAATGACCCTTCAATCCAGGGTGCTTGTGCTTATGCAAAATATTGGGCTCAGAATTGGGTGTGTCTCTTTCTTCAAGTGCATTGATGGTCTATGAATCCATATTTAACTTTCTTAATTGTTTATTTATATTCAGGTCAAGAACATTTGTGAAAATTCCTGCTGTCCATCTTTCATCCTAGCCATTGCTGGACCATGGATATGCATCCTAGGAGCAGTGTACCTTGAAAAGCCTGTTATTGAACCACTAACTGATTTCTTGTTGCTGATTGACCGGCCTGGAGATGATGGGAAATGAGTAGAGATGCTTGTCAAATTGTTTGTAGCTTTGCAACATGCCCATGATGAATTGGTAGACTACTACACCAATCTTGGTAAAATCAACAGTCCCAAGGAATGATTTTTTCCCTACCAAAATCAATATTCACTTTATGACAAGATTGTCAATATTACATATCTTGAGAAGTTTCCTACAAAATTGGTTTGGACAGCAAAAACTGATGAGGTAACAAAGTGGTTGTCAAGCTCACAAAACGATATAATGCCAAAATCCACTGCTTCCTAGCTGATAATGATCTGGCCCCTCAACTTTACTATGCTGATGATGTTGACTTTGATGGTTGGCATATGATAGTTATGGAGTATATTGATGCTGAAGCCAAACTTCAAAAATTGTCTTTGGAAAAGAAGAAGCATATCTACAATGAGGTAAAAAAAGCAATTGAGCTCCTACACAATAAGGATGTTGTCTTTGGGGACCTGCGCATTTCTAATATTCTTGTTAGGAAAGAACAAATGGAAGAACAAGTGAAAACAGTATTGGTAGATTTTGATTGGTGTGGGATAATGGGAGAAGTAAGATATCCTTCAACATTAAACATGGAGATTTCATGGCCAGATGGAGTAATTACTATAACTGCTCTTATCTCTCCTTCATTTGGATTTCGGTTCAAACTACCAATTAGTTCTTTTATTTCCTCTTCAGTTAAAATATTGTTTTGGTTTGTCATGACTTTAATTCCTATATTATTATTTTAATATTAATATCATTAAAAGATTAAATATAAAGAATTAAACACACAAAACTAATAAAATAATAAAATTTTGCAGTTGACTAAAATATTTTTATTCATTATCAGTATAGATTGGTTTGGGACAAGTAATATCCTTGAATTTATCTCTAACAAATGGGCGGATATTATGATAAAGATATTCTTGTCTTTTGTAATCCAAAGTAGACGAAGTTAGAACCAAAATAGAAAAAAATTTAATTTCTTTGGTAGTTTCAGAAACACTTGCTTTTCTGGTTTTCAATAAATTAAACTCAGTAAATGCACCATTAACAACCAGCTGAGCCTTGACAATACCAGGTCGGGCTGCTTCGAATACAAAATGCTGATATTTTTGTAAACTACTCAATTTCTTAAAGAAAATTCCCAACACGGAATTAAGATCCAAATATTGAAAGTCTTTGCCGTTTTCATAACACTGAGCTTTGTTTAATCCTGCCGTACTCGATCTTTTCACAACCTCAACGATATGGCCTACACAATCTGCGGTCGTTTTTCGATAAAGCTTTTTAATCAATCCAAAACTACCATCACACTTGAATTTAGTATGCCCAGGCACCATAAAATTTAATTCGATACTTTTATAATAACCACAAATTACTAAATATAGATAAAATCTAATAGTAGCATTGTTTTTATTCTGCCCTCCCGCGTTATCGCAAGTAATCTTTAAATATTTTTCGCCTTCATTTAATTCCATCGAATACCAGGCTCAGTGTACCGTTAGGTCCTTTGCCGATAATTTCGTCCTTATCGAGAACGTAATTAATTTGTTCGCGTACTGCTTCATCTTGGATACCAAATAAATGTACTTTACGCGGACTAAGAT